ACTTAATGTATGCTAACAAAACTGTTGAATTAGAAACGCGAGAGAAGAATGTTTACTGAATATCGTGCTCTAAAATACTTAAATTGTTTATTTTAACATTACGGCATTATTAAAAATTTTATTCTAAAATTTAAAAATTTTATTTTCAAAATCTTTCTATTTAACTTGTTTAACATAAGACGTTTTCAAGTAATATTTTTGAATAATATTAGAAATAGTGATGACAGATTCGAATTATTGTATATCATAATCTCTCTTTTGCATTTTAATTTCTTGTACGCACTCTCAATGATTTTCTACGAAAACTGAACTGTTAAATTTTTGTTACAACTTCTTAATCATATAAAGCCGAGCTTTGCAAAGATAAGAATTTTTAATTATAAAATCTACAAAGTTTGATTTTTTAATTTTTAATTAAGAAATGTCTAATATTTTATTACTTTTTTATCTAATTTAAGATTACATCGATGAAATTTATTATGCTATCGAAAGCAACAATTTTATACTAACAAGACAACCATACAATTTTGATGTCTTCTTATATCATAAATTTTTAATCGCCACTGTATATAGTCATCTCAGTCAATCTGAAACATCAACTTCACTCTATCGATTGAGATTTGGAACGTAATGGCGTAGTCCTGGGTACTTTAGGAAATGGCACAGTCAAATTACAAGACCTGTTGCACCTGCGACTGCTGTGGTTGCACCAATTTTGCCTTCCGTGGTCATTGCCTAATCCGTAGCAAATTTTACAGCTATATTTGGGTCCATTGCAAGTCCCATGACTGTGAATAAACTTTTTCCATATTTAGCAACAATAATTGAGTCTTCTGTTAACAGGTCCGCTATAGATATTGCAGCTATTGTATACAATATCTTTCTGTCACAGATGACAACTTTTGATAGTCCCAAATAATTCGAAGTATTAAATTTGTATCAGATACAAAAACTATTTTTGTCGTAAATTTGAGTTAAATAAAATAGTAGATTTGATATAAATAAAAACCTCGGCAAATTATGTATTGCAATTTCAAGTGGCTGAATCTGTGGATGTAATAGTCGCACCAATAGCTGCGCTTGCTAATGAAATTATGGTCAAATCCGTCTAGTGAAGTGCAGCAATGAAAGTGCACTCGTAAAAAACATAGACGACTCAGTGATGTCTTGCCAATAAGAATTGAATTCTTTATCGGCTACTTCAAATACTTTTTCAAGCTATTGCATAGATATAAATTAAACATCCAAAAAATATTCTTTTATTTTATAGTAATCTTATTAAATTGAAATTATATTGTGTATAATGAAGTGCATTTATTGGAATTCAAATTACTTTTTTTAATTTTTTGTTTTATTACAGGTATATTAAGGTGCATTAAACATTTTTTAAAAAGTTTCTGCAAACTCATCTACTCAATATCATGTGAGTTATAGCAAACATATCTTACTAAATATATTTGTTACATATACATACAAAAATAGTTTTTGTTATTTACCATACATATCTTCAAACTTAGTTTTTAAAATGTTTTGATAAACTTTTTATCAATCAGAATTATACAGAATAACATAGGTTTAAAGTTTTTTCTAACATTTACTTTAACGTTTTAGGAATAAACAAAACATATTTTAACACTATCACTTTTCTTTCTCGTTATTAAAGATTGCCTGTAAGTAAAGACTACAATGAAAGGAATTGCTTATGAGAAAATCGGTGAGATTGCAACTGGCAATCCATGGAAAATCTACGAAAGAGGATTGAAAAAGTCACCGTGGAAATACAGTCGCTGAAGTTGCCCGTAAGCGCGAGCAACTTTATTGTACTTCATCAACCGAGTGGTCGAAGGGGAGCTTGTTATGTCGGAAGTAGTCGTCGCGGCGTGCTTGATGAGAAAAGTTTAATCTACTAGTCCGTAATGCGTTTTTGTGTCACTCGTGAAATATGAATCGAGTTGCATCGATCTGTTTTTGAATAAATGTTGCTGCTGGTCATTTCGCATTTAAAATAAGTAATGAGTTACTATAAAAATTCTTTTGGATTTTTATAGCAACCTCAACTTTCATGTACCTGATTTGGATGGCTATTAAAAACCTAATGCAAAAGCGTGCAAGCGTTGCTTTGCCCGCATAAATTAATGCATAACGATGGTAGCAACATTTTTACTTTTTTTGTCGCGAATCATTTTTTTTCCGGTTCCAGAAAAGAGGACTGCACGATAACGCTACTAAAGTCGCAACGACAACGCCAACCGTCGAGCTATCCATGCACCACACGTCCGCAACGAACCGAGTTATGCAAATTCGCGTACACGCAACTCTGTATCCGTTCTCATTGGCCGGGACGGATGCATCGTTGATATTGTTCTCAAATCACTCGACGTGCTGACATGGGAAATGGGAATGGACGTACAGTGATAGTAGCCGACGATGATACGCTCGGCTCGATGTGATTATGCCCTCGAAATGATACGATCCGATTGGAAATAGATTGATTTATGACGCATTCAGCAATACGTCTGAATTACTTGCATGATTTTGCACGAACAACAACATGTCATATATACTGTCATGTTATATATACTGTCATATATACACAAAATGATGTTTACCTTTATATACTTGATTCTTTAAGTTGAAATAATTATTTGATAAAATTATCGAATTTGTTATTTGCATTAATTTTTCTGAATATAATATTTTTATTGCGATAGTTGACTTTAAATTATTTAAAAATAAAAATCAGCTCGATAAATATTCATCTTTTTAAACTCATTTTACTCATCGAAGTTTCAAAAAACTTTTCATAATCAATAAAATTTATTAAATTCTTCCTATTCTGCATAGTCTGCTTCATAAAAAACATAAAAACATAAATTGTAATAAAAGATTTTTTATTTGTTGCGGCTATATTAACGTTTATTTTATTGATTTTCTTTTATTGATATTGAAAAGTCGAACGTCTGCCGATAAATACATTTAGTGTTCTGTGTAAGCAATATAGGTGAATTTCTGCGGTACGTGCTCTAACTGTGATTGCGATTCGAGTATCCGTGTGTAGGACCATCGTCGAACATTATAGGTAATAGCGATGGCATTATATTTCAATCAGCTTTTTTATTCTATATATACATATATTCATGATATATTCACCAATGCTAAGAAACTTGTCTAAACTTGCTTTTTTAAATGGTGATAGTTATATGTCAAAAAAGAATCCTTACTCTATTACTAATTAAATAGAATTGCAACTTATAACGGAAAATATTAAACAAAATATAAAAATATTCTCGAGAAACGTTTAGTATGGAAATAATGCTATTGGAGAAGTGCTGTAATTAAAGATTCGATGCCTGGTTCCGATTCTGCTAAATAGAAATTCTCAGCATTCAAGTAATTCTATTCAACTATTAATTTGATCGTGTCGTAGGGAGTGTGCTAACAATGAAAGTTATTGGAATTAAAATTGCATTTGACAATGGCAATTGTTCCGTTAATATGTATCGACTCTATCTAGGTAATCATTCTAATATCAATATTTCCACATTAGTAATAATTTTCTTAAATTTTCCGTATCTTTCTGATAGTTGAAAAAATTATTGTATCTGATTTTTAGTAAGAAAATTTTTAATAAGAAAAAAGTTTTTAGGTACGAAATGAATAACGGAAATGTTAAATACATATTTATAATAATAATAGTATAAATATTTACAATTGAAACATGTTTCAAAAAATGACTCATGCAAGAATAGTAAAACAGCAATAGACAGCGATAAGTCTTATCACTATGATTATTTTTTTACCTGTTATTATTGAAAAGACACAATTTGTTGTAATTGTTTTAATTGTCATCTACTGTTGCAACATTTTTACTAATTACGACTTAAAATTTCTTATGTGTCATAAAAAATTGGAAAAAAGATAAACTTTTATCATTTAATATCATACAGTTTATCTATAATTTGTTATTTGCAAGATTGACTACAACAAAGTAACAATAAATCAAATAATATTTATATATAATATTTGTAAAATCGTATAATAATTTATTAAATTTAATTACAATGTTTGTAAGCAGCATGATTAGCATATAGGTTGAATAGAAATCAATGTTATACAAGTCTATCATACAAGCAATGTAAATACTACACCAAAAATTCAATTGTTGAGATTATTTTTATTAAATAATTATTTTAAAACTTACTAATTACTTTGAGCGTTTACAATTTTGAACGTGATTCTAAGATTGTTTGTGTCTTTCAAATTTGTATTACTTTCAACTGTTATAAATAAAAGCAGCATAAAATTTCTTCTATTATGTAAAATTTTATCTTTGATGTGCGTTGGAGCAAAACGTACAAATTAAAATTAATTTAAACAGGTCGTAGTAATATACATATATACATACATATACATATATATAAATTTATTGTATATAGCACATAAATTATATTTTTAAATATAGAAAAGAAAATTTATCAAATTTTATCATTAAATATATCTGTACTACGGCAGAAATAAATAAATGAGTAAAGTTACTTTATAATTTCAGTACAATGAATATTATCTGTCATTGACGTAGCGTGTTCAACGATACTCATGTATTTTTCTTGTCATTTAGACTACATATCCAGTATTAAACGTAATATATATTTATGCCATGATATATATGATTGTTTAGTTCTTTTATAAATTTTTTTAAAAAATTGTATTGCTATTGCCACATAAAAATAACAAATAAATTAAAGGTGAATTAAAGGATAGCTGATTAAAATAGGATAAAAAATAGGATATGTATGCCATATGATTAATAATATCTCCAAAATATATCAATAAAAATATAATCTTTTATTTTTTTGACAAAAAACAAATATTTTATAACTATTGTATAATTTACAAATAAATGAAATTACATGTAATTCCAAATTATTGTATTTTATTATTTTGCTTAATCAAACTTATTATATTAATAAGTATGTTAAGAACATTGTGCAAATTGAATATTTATGCATATTGAACTGAATAAATGTAATGTTTTAGCTTCAGTGACTTTCTAAAACGGATCGCAAGCTTAACGCTTAGCCGGATGCAGCCGAACTTGATGCTGCACCAGTGGAAGTAGCACCACCACCAAGGCGGCCTCTGTAATTGCCTAAAAGACCTGGCGCTACCAAACGGCCACTAGTAGGAACAACTCCGGTTGTAACGACATCCGTGGCTCCATCCACAATTGTTGGGTCTGTAAGACCCGGGAAAAATCCTTGATTGACGAAGCGGTTCAATAAAGCAAACCTAGGTGGAATTTGTATACGTTCGCCAAAACCGGTACGGAAGTTGTCAAGGTACGTTCTGAAGCCGTTATAAGCATGTGATGCCGCAGTAGCCGCTGATGAGGCAACATTATGAGATAACTCGCCAATTCTCGGCAAACTTACAAGGTCCACGAAATTGGGAAAAAACTCCTCCTGGAGGAATGGCGATGGTACTACTCCACCTTGTATTGCCTATAATAATTATATCAAATATTACCAACTGGTAAAATGTTAAATTAAATTTATATAAATACAATATTATATATTGCACGTTATGTAATTATGTATAATATATATTAAATCAGAAAATATATCAGACAATAATATAAATTATATATGATATTAATTAGAATTCTTTTTAATAATAGAGTTAATAGAGTAATAGAATTTTATAATTAATACAATAATAACACATTAATAATACTTATTGTTACTTTTACGTGATGTAATACGTATTTGAATATGTTATTAAAATATAACTTTACCAATTTAATTTTCAAGGAATTTTTTTGTACTTTCAAGAGATTTTTTTATAGAATATCATATATATATATATATATATTTACGTACATTTGCAGAAACAAGTATCAGAAATATTGCAGAAACGACGTGACTTTGAACCATGGTGAAAGATTAAACTTAAATAGTGTCTTATATAAACACTAATTCGACGAGATTCACACGAGTTCAATACTTGTACTGAATTGTTAATTGCGTACGACTAATTGTTTCATTTGACGGTGCTCTTTTATACACGGAAACTGTGTATTTCTTCGTGCCAAATTCGTATCTCCAAATGTCTTTAAACATTGATATGTCTCGTCTCAGTATTTATCGGTTGTGGGTCCGCGCGATTGTAATATACATGCGATAACATAAACAAAAAAAGATCTCAATCGGTTTCATATGCAACGATCTCACGTTTCAACCTGTCCTTGAAATACGTCCACGTATGCGAAATAAAATCGGATCAAATTTAAGTACATTGATTGACTGTAAGCTAAAATATACACGATTGAAATAAAAGTTTAATACTAACATTATCTTCATAAATAGTTTTGTATATAATTATCATATTTAAAATATTTTTCATATTTTTTAACTTGCTTTAGAAAATTTACACAATAAAATCATTATAACAATTTATTTAATAAACAGACGACGTTATATTATAAAACATGAAATCAATAACTTTTCTAAATTATCCTTCTAATTTATTCTTGCAAAGCAAGCAAAATAGAATTTTAGTACGTCGACGTACTAAACGATATAATTGTCAACCTCGCGGCGTATATAACATTTGGAAGCTCTCGGTTATTGTAAAATTTAATTGGGGCAAAATTGATTATGTCCCCTCTCTCTCTCTCT